CTGCATTCACACATTAAAACACTGCTATAAAAATTCCCTTATAAGACAATAAATGAATACATAAGGAAGAATGTTACATTACATTCACAATAAGATATTTGAAGAAAAAATTTTTTAAAAAATCAAATCTGTTATGTGAGATAATAAGGACATAAAAACATGTCAGTTTAGTTTAAATTTTGATTACCATTGCTTATTCCACAATTTACTGCTTGATGCTGTTTATTGCCTTGATGGAAAGTGGAAGAAATGAGTTCTTAGAGGGGTTCAATGTAAGGACGTGACCTAAAGGAAGAAACTGATACTCTGAACAAGTTTGGCCTTGATTGGACAGACAGGTTACTAAAAGCAGGCAGAAATGCCATACCTAAAGCTGCTCTCTATGACAGCACGGTAAAAGAGCAGCATGTAGGGCTGTCGCAGTTGAGGAATTCCCCCTGTGATTATTCAAGGAGGCTAAATATTGCAATATGCAATATTATTGCACCATCTTTTTTTTCTTTATTCTAATCTATTTATTCGCAAATGTGTTTGTATATTGTTAAATTACCAACTACATGGCAAAATATCCTTTGCAACATGGCGCTTAAACATTAAAAAAAGGTTATTAAAAAAAAAGACATGGCAATTTTATAACACTTTATTGAATGCAGATCAAAGGGCAGTAATGGCACAGATATGCCTCATTTCTCCGACTGAACTTAACAAAATTCAGAAGGCTGAACCTTTGAAGGCAAATTTGTGTACAGAATCTTTCATAAAAAAAAACAAGTGCCTGTTTTGTTTTGTTTTTTTTTTTTGTTTTTTTTTACTTAAGTGCGGCTATACAATATTAAATATAACAGGCCCTATAATTCTTAATTCACACACAAACAAATGACGGTGATTTAAAGCTCAGCCATGTCCTTGTTGCGGGCAAGTGAAAACCAGCATGTTAACCTTATGCGGTTTGAGAGGATCTGAGCCATCGGCTGGCACCGACATGAGCCGCTGCACGACTGTGTGGCAGGAGGCGGCTGTAGCCGTGCCGTAACAGTTGGGTGGTAGCTAGCTAAATGAGCCCTTACATTCATTGTGTTTCCACAATTTACTTGAAGAGTTTTGCCACAGATTTTACAAATTTCCTCTTTTAAATTATCTGGCTCCCCCTTTTCGTTTGGCTGAAAACCGAAATGCTCCCAAAGGGGCGAAATAACATTTGGTTTTGATACCAGTGCAGCTGCCATTGTATCATTCTCAACTGTTCTCCCAAAATGCGGTGATGGTGGTGGCTGATATTGTAGCGCGGTGAGCTTCTTGATATCGCGATATTTAATTCGTGCGGTTATCGTGACAGTCCTAGCAGCATGACTTTCTGACTGACAACAAAGACCCTCAGCCTGCGCAGGAAATGTAGCCCCTGCTGGGCAATGTTGCAGACATGCATACAATAAAGTCTTAAAGAGAATAAAGTAATAAAATTACGAGAATAAAGTTGCATTTTATGAAAACAATAAGAACTTTCTTCCCTAAAACGAGGAATTTAGAGCATCAGGTGAAGTTATACTTTAATCTGTTAAAGTATAAAACTTTAAGCAGCAGCATCAAATTGTTCAGGATGTCAAAGTGGACTCAGGTTGCTGATTGGTGGAGCTGGTTGACAGTCATATGTTGGTCAGAGCTTGAAGCTTTCTTTCTGAAATGGGCTGTGGTATGATGACATCATTCTCGTAATTTTTCAACTTTATTCTCGTAATTTTATGACTTTATTTTCGTAAATGTATGACCTTATTCTCGTGAGTTACAATTTTATTCTCATAATATTGCGACTTTAGTCTCATATTGTTATGACTTTATTCTTGCATTAAAAATGTATCTCTAGCCTGGCCAATGATTGAAAATATCGTACGGTGCATGTCTGGCTTAACTCAGTGGTTAATAATAATTGGGTGTTTTAGCCTTTTCTAGCATTCCACACTCCAAAATAAGTAAGAAAAGCATGTATGATTCGTGCTAATATTATTCTGGGGCAATATCGGCATGGTAACCGTAATGAAAGTGTATCTGGACCCCCCTATGCTAACCCCGCCTGGTGCGACCGTCTCTCTCTTCCTTCTAGTTCTGTCAGCCCAGTGGATGGCAGCTGGTTCCAGAGCGGCAGCCGGCCTCCTTCTTCGTCGCCGTGTTGACTGACATCAACTCGGAGCGTCACTACTGTGCCTGCTTTACTTTCTGGGAGGGCTTGGATAATCCCCAGGTGAGATTAAGGGCTGCTAATCTTAGTCCCATTAGCCCCACTTATTGGTTAGCATTACACTGACGGGGAAATGTCTTGGATTCATAAATCCAGTTTTTCAAAGTGTTTAATTCATCATGTTTCTGTTCTCTGTTCAGCTGAAGAAGACTGACGCTGGTGATGCCGATGAGGCAGACGAAGAGCCGGCTGTTGTCCAACCTGCCAAAGTCTTTGCACCTAAAAGCTTGGTGGTGGTTTCTCGGCTCGATTACACAGAGGCGTTCAGGGTAGGACTACTGGTTATTTAAATCAAGCAGAAATGCTTTAACATTGCTGTGCTGACCTTTGACCTCTGTCTCCCTGCCCTGACCTTACAGAACTGTCTTGGTCTGATCTACACCGTTCATGTAGACGGCCTGCCCACCCCTTTAGAAACTGTGATTGGAAACCTTCTGACGTGTGTCATCCCCATCGCCGGAGGCTCCCAGGTATGACCAGTTCATCCCTGCTAGCTTAACGCAGCGCCGGTTCATGCTAGCATCATGTCGGCCTGATGAAAGTTACGAGCTTTAACTTGGTTTGTTTTCCCACAAAGGTGGTTAGCTACCCTGCATGTTCTGTTGTTAGCAGGGATGTTTCAGCTGGACCGTCAACATCTCTATTCAGGTTATTATTAAAGGAAAAGTCCAGTCAGCAAG